ACATAATTTTAAGAGTGTGTCACTGAGTTAAATACAACATCGGGAACAGTATTAAAAAATACTCAACAGATATGCGATGAATTTGTACAATTCTTTACTGACATAGGCGAAAATTTAGCAAGTGATATACAAGCAAATGTACAAAATACTCAGCCTCCAAAAAGAACTTTGAACTCATTTATTTTGGATAAAGTCGACCAATGTGAAGTATACATCACTGTTATGTCCTTAAAAAATCGGAAAAGTACTGGTTCGATGGTATTAAAAGCGATCATTTTAAAATTATAGCCGAGGACATAACAGAACCACTCACTTACCTAATCAACAAATGCTTTGAATCTGGCGTATATCCCTCAATTTTAAAAAAAGGTAATATAATACCCATACATAAATCAGGAACAAAAACAGATGTTAACAACTATAGACCAATATCAATAATATCCAGTGTAGCAAAGGTTTTTGAAAAAGTTTTATCTACTAGAATGATTCGATACCTCACAGAATTCAAAATTTTAAGTGAAAATCAATATGGATTTACAGAAGGGAAGGCTACATCGGACGCAATAACTAAAATTGTAAATCAAATACATCAGAATATTGATAACAGAATCCCTTCAATCTGCATTTTTGTTGATTTGAAGAAAGCTTTCAACACAGTTAATCACAAATTATTATTAGAAGCATTGGAGACAATTGGTTTCAGAGGAAACGCGTACTCACTGATCGAAAATTATTTGTCAAATCGCCCACAATCTGTGCAGATATCAGGATCATTTAGTAAAGAAATGTATATTAAGTGTGGTGTCCCACAAGGAACTGTCTTAGGTCCGCTGTTATTCAATAATATTTAAATGATATTTTCCAAATTAATTGTGTTGGCAAAATAACTAGTTTTGCAAATAATACTGCAATATTATATGAACTGGTCTGATCTGAAAAATGTAATTGAAAATGATTTTATCAAAATTATTCGGTGTTTAACAGTAGAAAATTAAGCATGAACTACTCTAAAACACATTTTTTACCATTTGGATCAAAAAATGCAAATTAATAGAGTGCCCAACATAAAATACCTTGGAGTGGTCTTGGATCCTCACTTACGATGGGACATTCATGTCAATTATATTTTAAAGAAAGTTAGATTTGTATCCTACAAAATTAAATTCCTTGGGAATATATTGACAGAAAAATATCTTCGAACATTATACCATGCACTGATTGAGCCTCATCTCACATATGGTATATTAGCATGAGGAGCTGCATGTTCCTCACATATCTATAATTTAGATTTTTTTCAAAAAAGTATTCCAAAAATGATATTTAAAAAACCGAAACTTTATCCCACTGAAAAATTATACGCAGATGTTCGATTGTATGATATAAGACAGCTTTATTTCTTACACGGTATTACTCACTACCATAAATTTGTAAACACCGACCAAAAAATTAAACATAATCATTATACCAGGTACAAAATTCGTGGCACAGTAGTTCCTCAAACGCATAAATCTATAATGCAGCGATCATATCTTTATTTAGCGCCTAAATTTTGTGAAATTATACCTAAAGACTTAAAAGATTTACGTTTCGGAAATTGTTTCAAAAGAAATTTGAAAAAATGGCTACATTCTATATCTAGGACTGAAATTCATAAACTCATAAATACGAACATCAACTAAATACACAATCTACTGTAGCTAATTTTTGTCCTTTTTTGTCATTTCCATTCTACAGTTTCAACTTAAATTATTGGTCCATGTACAGGCGATGCCTTCTATTGGGCCTGTTTTGATTTTATATTTATTTACTCATATTGTTTGTTATCTTTGTACATTGAGTGAATTAATATTATTATTGTTATTATTATTAATTAATAAAAATTTCAGAAATATCCATCCGTTGAAAGAAATATTATTAATTTGCTCGGTTACCACGATGTTTTATGCACTCAGAAACGTGTCTACTTTTTTCTCACTATCCACTGTGTTTGAGTTTATTGTACGTGAAGGGTACAGGGACAAAACAAGGTAAAGTGTAAAAACCAGTGTAGTCCATAAGTTCACCCACGTTTCGAAACGTAGTGCAGGCACAAAACAGGGAATGTCCTTAACGTAACAGAACGTAAGAAGGAATGTCCACCTGTCAGTCGCCAAAAACAATTAACTTTGAGGTTAGACAAAATCGACAAATTACACCATTTTGTACCACGTTGTTGTTTATGAGCTAAGGATTTTAGGTTTATTAAAAGTAAGTATGAATGTTTGCTACAAGGCCATTTTGTCCATATTTGGAGTCAGCAAAAAAATTGAGCACCTCTTAAAGTCATTGAAATCAACAGGCAATGTGCAATTTTAAATATGAGCAAAGGTCCACCGGACCGCTCTGGCGAATGATGACGAATAGTAGGTAATGTGCCATGTCATAAAAGAGGCAAATAAGGCTCTCACAAAAAGTTAAACCGTAATGTTAAACAATTGTAACCCTACTAAATCATTCAAAGGAAGACAAAGCCACTACAGTTTGACTGATACCAAAAAAGAATATTTACCTGAAGACCTGAATAAACAAAAAAATTAAAGATGTATTCGGATCAATACCCACAATCTGAAAATAATGTATCTTATTAAATCTGCATAAAAATATTTATCACAGAATTTAACATATCATTCGGTTACCCACTACCCACGTACCGATACTTGTAGCAGTAGTGATGAATAAAAGCCAAGGCACTGATGGCGGAAGGAAATAATGATCAGCTGAAACGTTTAACTATCCTGAACAATTTTCACACGAATAAGACTCAAACATTTTATGATAGGAAGAAGAGTGCTAGAATCAAAAGGAGGGATGAAGCTGAATTTCAAGCTATTGCCACGGTCTATCAAAAAATGTCTCACTGCCAAACCTCACCACTAATGATGTGTATTATAAATGCCAGTTGTTAATGTACTCATTTAACTTACATGTCTTGAGTGATGCTAACTCCTACTTTTACACCTATCCTGAAATATATTTATTATATTTCACTACTTAACAAATTAATTTGATCGTCGCGTGAATCATTTGGAAATATATTGCGACTCAGCAGGTGGATAGAACAAGAACTGCACTGTAGTGAATGCGACAAAAATATGGACTTAGTTAATTTAAATTTTTCTAAGTCTCCAAAGGCCCAAACCGTTTGATGTGATTGAAGTGGGGACGGGCGAAATCATCAGGAAGTTAACTAACTTTTTAAAAGATATGTACTTGGAAAAGTTACCTTTTCCAATCCAGTCACAACGAGAAATAATGGGCAAAACAGGTCATTTAGGATTAAATTTGCAAGGAAGTAACTGCAATGGTTTGTGGGAAAATTCACCTATACTGAATAGACAAAGAAGAATCCTGCACGAATCTTTATGTAACAATCGGTTTGAATTACTAGATTTTGCCTATAAACATTATCTACCCGTTAGTGTAGAGAAGTATGAGGACCCCATATTCCTGAAAAAATTGTGTTCTGCTGGAGCTTAAGCCTTTTTTGATAGCACTACTCATGTATAATTAGTAGGGAAACAGGGGGTAAGATGACGAACGGGGTAAGAAGACGAACGGCTTTCATTTTCAAAGTACGCGCAAATAGTGGATCGTACTACTGGCGCCACACAGCAACAATCGACAGGTATTAACATATGATCGACACGCACGCTCTGCGTTTTTAGTTTCTCTATAGTTGAGCGACGAGTGTTTTTGACCTTCCTTGTTGTAATTTATTTGGGGCCTATATTAGTGATTTCTGACGGTTTGCAGGTATGTAACTTACTTTCTCATCTAACGTCATTAATTACTCACACTTAGTAGCAACTATGACAGAAGCATTTTTGATTAATTCGGGTGCGGTAAAATATAACCTCAAAATTATTCACTTTTGTACCCATGGGGTAAGATGGCGGGGGTAAAATGACGAATTCGTCATCTTACCTCTATAATGCAAATTTTGTTTCAGAATGCCGAGAAAATATAAGCGGAAAAGTAGTTGACGGGAGTGGTCGGATATTGCATAAATATCGGCCATGCGTGATGTAGAAGAGGGCACATTATCGTGCAATGCTGCTGCTGGAACATACGACATTCCAGAACCGACCCTTCGGCGATATTTGAAGAAGAAAATGGAAGGCGTCGACCTACCACAGCATGCAGGCAGATTCAAGAACACTTTTAATACTGAACAAACACAAGATTTTGTTCGTTACATCCAAGAGTGCAACGCAAGAGGACTTGGTTTAACATTGATACAGATTCAAAAATTAGCATTTAAATATGCGGAAACAAATGGGATTGAACACAGATTCAACAAGCAAAATAAAATGGCAGGCATTGACTGGGTTAGACAGTTTAGAGCAGAAAACAATCTGAGCTTGCGAAATCCAGAACCAACATCAATTGCTCGCCTGAGGGGGTTCAACAAAGTTGCAGTGGAAACATTCTTTAATATTTTAAAAGATGTACGAGCTACCTCCTGAGCGCACATACAACACCGACGAGTCAGGTGTTTCCACGGTACCCACCAAATTGCCAAAAATATTAACTCCAACCGGGCAAAGAAGAGTTGCGAAAATAGTGTCGGCGGAAAGAGGTCGAAACACCACAGTCGTATGCGCTATGAATGCGGTTGGTTCATATGTTCCACCATTCTTCATCTTCGCTCGGCGCAGAATGAAGCCCGAATTATTGCACGGATGTCCTCCTGGAGCTGACGCTTTGGCTCAACCGTCGGGCTGGATGACATCCGACAGTTTCCTTGCTTATTTAAAACATTTTCCTCGTCATACACATCCTTCTAAGGATAAGCCATTGTTGTTGATAGTCGACAATCACAGCTCCCATATTTCACTTGGCTCAATCAATTACTGTAGGGATACGTGAATAATATTGGCAGGACTCCCCCCTCACACTAGTAACCGCCTCCAACCCCTGGATGTCAGTTTTTTGGGCCATTGAAATCATTCTATGGTCAAATGTGCGCCGCATTTTTAGTTAATCATCCTGGGTGTCAAATCACAGACCGAAATTTAGGCCCTTTGTTTGGAGAAGCCTACAGCAGAGCAGCAACGGTTAATAATGCATTAAAGGGCTTTAAGGCTTGTGGGATAGAACCTTTTAATCCTTTAATATTCGATGACAGCGATTTTGCTCCTGCAATTACAACTGAGCGTGAAAACCCATCAGATGAAACTGAAGCTCCTATAGAAAAAAGCCGTTCTGATGGCCCAGAGAAAGTTGTCACAAGAAAACGAAACATCGTAAATTCCTCATCTGAAGACGATCAGGACGATTCTATTCCCTTGTCTGTATTGAGCTACAATATAAAATCTACATCTACACCTGAGAAAAGGGGAGTTGCAGCCGAAAGTTCTTCAGGAAAAGTATTTGAAACAGCAAAAGAAGCTGCGAAAAAAAAAATTATTTTCGATAGACGATCAGGCTGGATCGAGTTGTTCAGACAAGACCCTGTGGGATTTAAGATCAATTGCAACCTGTGATCGTTCTGGAAAGTCCCAAGTTCGAAAAAAGATGTCGGTTTCGATAACTAGCAGCACGCCTATGAAGGAAGAGCTGGAACTCAAAAAGCAATTAATGGAGGAAAAAGAAAATAAACGTAAATTAAAAGTATCCACTTCAGTAACCAAAAAACCCAAAAACGTAAAAAATAAACCAAAGAAAAAACCTAACAAAGAGCGGGATGACGTTAAGACAAAGTCGAAAGATGCAAGTGGTGAAGAAAGTAAGCAGAAATAGTATTGCCCAGGGTGTGGAGAATTGTATGTCGACCCCCCTACAGAAAATTGGGTCCAGTGTACTGGGTGCTTGGAATGGTGGCACGACAAATGCTCTAGATTTGAGGGCAGCGGTGACATTAAGTGCGATTTTTGCGACTAGTCATCTTGCCCCAATAGGTTCGACATCTTACCCATGCCATGGGGTAAGATGACTGAAGTGCAATGTTTTGTTTTAGTTTTTATTGTAAAAAAATGTTTAACTTTCAATGTTTTTACGTATGCCAAATGAAAGGCGATGAGCAAGGCTCCATTGTGCCTGAGTTGATGTTGCTTAATAAAAAAGTTTACCGTAAAAACAATTGTTTTTCCTTAACATCGCCATCTTACCCCCTGTTCCCCTAACATTAATTGGTATCAAAGTTTCTTCTTTGTTTTGGATGTGATGGACATTCCTTGTTTTGTACTTCAAATCATTATATTACTTTAATTTTTTACATTTACAACTAGTTATCTGTGCATAAGTTTTACAAGTGCCTAAAACTAAGCCTTATAATGTAAACTTAAGCTCCTATTAACTACTTGTAGAATGAATTGATAATCAAAAAAGTTATTGACTTTCAAATATTAAAATGTTAATTACACAAAACTTGGTCTTTGTGACATTCCATCTTTTGCCCCTGTACCCTTTATTAGTTAATAATATTAACAGAAATACTCATTTAGACATTTGGAGTGTTTTTTTTTGTATTCGAGCAATCTTTTAACAACTGAGGAGTATACAGATTTTTTTTAACTCCAACGCCGCATTCGATTGTAGTATTGGTAATGTTTTATGTGCGTTTTTTTCGTAGCCATGCTGACTTTCCTGAAAATGAATACAACGTAAGGGAGATAAATACATTTTTTCTTTGGTTTCCTTTGTTTCTTGTACCTCAAAGTATCGAAAAGAGGTAGATGCTTACTGTTTATTTCTAATGCAAATATTGATACCGCAGGTTAAAGTGTTTGTTTCGCGATATAATCACTTGGATCGTCTATTACACCCTTTTCCTATTGATGGCAAACGTAAGAAGACCTCATATGCCCCCTGGTAGGAACAGTGACGCATGTGTTCATACCAGTCCTTGTTTGAGCTCGAGTTGAGGGCGTCACGTCGCATCTTGCTTCGGCTGCCAGCGACATTTGACGGCAGTACGTACCTACGTGTAATTACTAGTTGGCTTTAATCAACAATGTACACTATGCCCCTGTCGTGACTCGAAGCTGCCAGCGACCAACTGCGGCCTTCTTGTTGTCAAGCTTCGCTTACATTTCATTGGACTTCCGTATATACCAATTGCACTTCACGATGCTCGGCATTTAAACATGTTACCCTTTGAGCTATGTTCTCTTCATAACGTACATATATGTATATGTAAACCGGTATTATATGCTATACTGGAATGCAAGACGTATGAAATACGATGATTCCCACAGTATCATACGATCATTTCGAGAATTATAATATCAATTATATCTCCGAACAATAGATAGATCTCCAGAATGATCTCTAACGCCTCTCGGTTTTATTCATTTATTTGTTATTCTAAGACCCATGCATTGCCTGCAAAAATTACCCGAATTAAAAGGCAGGAAAAAGAAATTTATACAAAAAAAAAACTGTAGACGACACGTGAAAGGAAACCAACTCATTTAACAATTGGAAATTACCTACACCTTTTGGTGAAACTGAAAACATCAAGCTTACTAACACCCTCACAAACATTACACATTACATAAAGTAGCGAAAATAACAACAAATTTGTTCGCAGGACAAGTAAATAAATCGAAATGTTACTATCATTACGAATACGTTAGTCGGGAACGCGAAGCTACATCCTATCTAAAAGAACAGGATGAATAGCCCCACAGTACCCAATAAATGTTTAGGCCATAGTGGTAGTTGGAGTTAAAAAAAAACGATCAAAGGTTCCATTCAACAAATTACATAAAAATTCAGTAGCTAAGGGATTTCTACGTTTGACTAAACTAGATACTGGGTTGTCCAATAGGGACGCAGGAAAGTAAACGTCAATTTGACATAGACGCCATCTTTGTTTTCTGTCACCGACCTGTCATTTTGTTAGTTGAATGTTTACCATTGATCGCTATGGAGTCGTATTCGATTGAAGACCGCATTAAAGTTATTCAAGAGCACTACAAAAATGGTGCAAAAATAAAAAACACGTTTCGCGCGCTTCGTGAACATTTCGGTCGCAACAACCGCCCAAACGAAACAACCATCGGTCGTCTGGTGCGTAAATTCGAGGCAACAGGTTCTGTGGCAAATCTGCCAGGCTCTGGCCGGCCAAGGAGCGTTCGCACACCGGAAAATATTGCTGTTGTGAAGGAGAGTGTGAGAGACGATCCGAAACAATCAACAACGCGTCGATCCCAAGAATTGGGCATTTCGAGAACCAGTTTGCTCCGCATTCTCCACAAGGATTTGAATGTGCACGCCTACAAGATCCAATTGACGCAAGAGCTACGTCGGGTCGACCATTTTTCGCGCCGAACGTTCTCAGATTGGCTCCTTGAACACCGCCAAATTGATGCCAATTTTTCATCAAAAATCATGTTCAGCGACGAAGCGCATTTCACTTTGAATGGGACGGTAAACAAGCAAAACTGCCGCATTTGGGCGAACGAAAATCCCCGTGAGTATCAAGAGCAACCGATGCATCCTCAAAAAGTGACTGTGTGGTGTGCATTGTGGTCAAAAGGCATCATCGGACCTTACTTTTTCGAAAATGCGGCCGGGGTCGCCGTTACCGTCAATTCTGAGCGATATCACGTGATGATAGAGGACTATTTTTTGCCGCAACTTGAAGGAATGGATATGGACGATGTTTATTTCCAACAAGACGGTGCAACATGCCACACAACCAACGTCAATATCCATCGATTGCAGTCCTCCTTCGGTGATCGCGTGATTTCGAGCAGAGGAGATGTGCCATGGCCACCAAGATCGTGCGATTTGACTCCCTTGGACTTCCTTTTATGGGGATATTTGAAAAGCAAAGTCTACGCCAAGAAACCAGCCACCCTCCAAGAACTCAAAAACAACATCATTGCCGAGATAAATGCCATAGAACCGACCATGTTGCAAAATGTCATTGTTTTCTTTTTAAATTGTAGGAAATTTCAGGCTGATAAAACATGATATAACTCAAAAGCAAGCACAATTTGATGGAAATAGATGTTTGTGACATAACCTCAAAATAGAGCGCTGACACGGAGAAGTAGAAAACTATGACAATCAAGGAGGCTATAAAGGCGCCCTACAAGTGTAGCGACGACTGACGATACGGGCCTAAGTGATCAAAATTTTTCGAAAATACAGTATAGACTATTTTGACTTGGCCGCAATTATCCATCTGAACTGACATGCAGTATTGCATGAAACATGCCAAATTACTAGAAGTGTATCTACTCTTATAGAAGCCAAGCTGATTCGCCGATGTTGTCCGACTTACATGCCAAAACAAAACACCAAATAAGTAGAAGAAACCTTTGGCTATATTATTCAAAATAACAATTGGCCTATAATTACCGTGACATCAACGGTTCACTTCAAGAGATTATGCCTAGAAAGATTGAAATCTGACGATCGCTACACACCAATGATTTGCCGAACTTGATTTTTCGAATGAAGACCAGCAGTGGCTATCTATGCGTACCTGTATATGCATAATTTGATACGGCTGGAACGGAAATGTTTACTTTATTTCTCTGTAACGGTGACCAACCTAAGACAGTGATGTTCCGTGCTTGTTGGCAAATAAGTGCGGTATGCATCTTAGTCCTAGTCTTGGGGACAGACGAGCCTCTCAAAAGACCATACCCACTTAGTGGCTTATCGGTTAGTCTCCAAAGCTAGACCTATACGTCACCGATGAGTTGTTAATGGGCACAAGGCAGCGCTGTGGTTGGTCATAGTTACAGAGTCGGAAAGCAAGCGTGTACAAGAGAACCTAAGGTTCAAAACTCTATCAAACTCGTTAACTATAAGCAGATTTCACTTCATGGGAGCGCACTTGACGCTATCTCAGAAAGTGCTGAAAGCAGTCCACATTTGAATCTGAAAAGTTTGAATTTTCAGGGTTTGTTCCTTGTTAATGAACTCAAAATTCACGGACTACCGGAATCCTAATAGCAGGACAGGGAGAAACATACAACCTTCTTTTGTATTCTCGCTAAATTCCAAATTTCATCAAAAAATAAACGGTAGATTTCTGATGAGACGATTCAAACTTTATTAGTCTTGTCACGTGGTAGACTGCTACTGAAAAGCTTCAAGACATTTTTGCACGAGCTACTATAACCGATGGGTGTTATATGAGCAACAAGCGCGAGAAACACTCAATTCGAGAAGATCTTGATTGCCTTTCAAAAGAAATTTTGAATAATCACGGAGCTCAGAAAACAAGGTTGAGCGTATCAAACACCGTGTGTGAGGAATGCGGGTAAACAACGAAAAAAGGGCTACTTGCTTCACACTATCTTGAAGCAAACTAAAAAAATGGCGTCGAGTATGGTTGACTCTGCACTGTCTACGCAACGCCATCATTCGTTCATAAAGGATTAAGTTCAGCATAAGTTAAACTCTCTGAGAGCAAAAATAGTTACATCAAGTCACTCAAACAGGTCCAAACAATTATTCCATAGAAATACTTTCCCTGCCTTACCGGTAGTTACCGTCAATGTGGCGGCGTTACCCTCTCCCACATCATCAGACGCGATAGCGCCCACCAAAGCACCACCGCAGTACAAACAGAACTATCAAGCAGACCGCTATGCCGGGCGCTGAGCCCAGATAGCTGAAAACATTTCTGTTTCATTCTAAGTTTTACAGGCAAATGAAGGGTACCGGGGAATAACGACAATAGTCCATCCGGACCGATTTTGAGAAAATCGATAATTAAGGTTTACTTACTTGTTGGAACGTAAAATTGATGAAAAAATAAGTCGTAAAAATAT